TGCTATCAACAATAAATTGGAAGTCATAGGGCTTGGGCTTGGTATTAAGGATGGGGAAATCTATATATTTTCCAAAATTATCGGTTGCTTTAATATTTAGGAGCTATAGAACATGTTGTTTGATGTCTTCGTGGCATTGAGGTGAAAAGATAGCTTTGGATTTGGCGGGATTGACTCTTTGCCCCGAGAGGTGATAGAAGTACCTTAGGTTGTGGTGAATAGAATGTATCGATTTTAGGTTAGCATTAGACATAAAAGTTAAATCGTCCGCAAAGAATAAGTGGGATAGTTGGAGTCCCTTCTTATTAAGGGTGATGTGATCCCATCTTTGGAGGTCTACCTGATGATTAATATACGTGGAGAGTAGCTCCATGCACATGATAAAGATATAGGGGGACATAGGGTCTCCTTGGCGGATACCCCGTGATGGAAAAAAATAGTTCGTCCTTGCCCCGTTGACTAAGATAGCAACGCCGCTGCTACTAATGCAATTCATGATGAGGGTGGTGATTTTTAGTGAAAATTTGAAGAAACGGAGGGTCCGGTAGACAAAGGACCATTCAATGCGATCAAAGGCTTTCTCAAGGTCTACTTTTAGCATAAGCTTACCCTTTGTCCCTTTTGAACGCTTAATGTGCCTTAGAACTTCTTGAACTAGAATAGCATTATCACTAGCTTTCCGGCCTTTTAGGAAGCTAGTTTGATATGGTCCTATGAGATCAGACTGGAAAGGCTTAATGCGATTGACAATAACTTTTGTAACAACTTTGTAGATAATGTTGCACAAGCCTATTGGTCGAATATTTTTTAGGTTATTGGCATTTTTGAATTTAGGTCCTATGACGATAACTCTCATTCTTTTGTGTTGCTTCTTATTACATAATTGTTACTTCCTCCGTTCCACTTTGTTTGACACTATATTCTTTTGCGTTGCTTCTTATTACATAACTATTACATAACTCTCATTCTTTAATACGAAACTTTTAATACCATACAAATGATATGGCATGTTTAAGATCACGAGTATCAAAAGTCTTATAGCCACATCAATGTTATGAGATATTTAAGGTTACAAATTTTAAAAATCTTTTTTTATTATTAAACTTTGTGTCAAATTAACAAATAAAATAAAACAGAGTGAGCATATTAGCATGTTTGGCTGTGCTTATGAAATTAGCGTATTTTGAAAAGTATTTTTTTTAAAAAAGTACTTTTGGTGAGAAGCAGTTTGTATTTGACTAATCAATTTAAAAAATACTTTTGAGCAATGATTAGCGTTTGATCAAGATGTTAAAAAGTACTTTTGAGAGCCCGTTTGGTCAAGCTGCCAAAACCTGCTTATTTTGAGAAGTACTTTTGTTCAAAAGTGCTTTTTAAAAAAGTACTTTTTGGAGGTTAGTTTTTGTTTGACTGATTAATTTGAGAATTACTTTTTGCAATATTTGATAAGCAAATTGTGTTTGGCCAATCCTTCCAAAAAGTACTTTTGATTATCAAATTACTAAAAAGGATAGTATCAATGTTCAGTTTACAACCAGTATTATTTAAAAGAGAAATGAATTCAAATATTTATTTTTATTTAAATATATATATATATATATATATATATATATATATGAAAACACTATCTATTCTTGAGAAATAAGAAACTAGCTAGTATTGCATTCTTTCAACTATAATATACGCATGCACGCCAAAGAAACAGAAATAAAATTACGGAGATCATATAATATTAGTATACTACAAAAGAAAAAAATCATATCTTGTGAAGAGAGTGTTTGAATCTGATGATTAGCCTTGTAAATTATTTCAAAGAGGAATAAGAGATGAAGTAAAAAGAAACGATAGAATAAAAAAAAGAAGAATTTTATTTATAGTAGAAGATTATTCCAAAGAGGATAGGAGAAGGAGAATGAAAATACACTAAAATAAAAAAGAGAAGCAATGGATGGTAGAAACAAAATAGAAAAAGAAAAGCCTAAATTAATGAGGGATAATTTTAAAAATATAAATTTACGGTAAGGATATTTTGTCTTGAAATAATTAATTTTTTGCTTCTGCTTCTGCTTCTACTTCTTGGAAGAAGTTAGAATTTGTTTCTTCTTCCCAAAAGCAGAAAAACTGCTTCTCCTGCTGCTCAAAAGCACTTTTGCGTCTTGACCAAACACCTCAATTTTTTTTTAAAATACTTTTTCTAATTAAAAAAAGTCGCTTTTGGCCTCCCAGAAGCTTGACCAAACAGGTTCCGTGTGTTTTTCTCAAAAGTGTTTTTGGCGATAAGCTATTTTTTCTTGCCTCTATTTAAAAATATTTTTTTCTTTTTAAAAGCTTGGCCAAATATCTTAACTTTCAAAATAAAAAAATACTTTTGGCCGCACAAAAAAAAGACTTTTGGCCCACAAATAAAACCGGCCAAAAAGGCTATCTATTATCAGGAGAAATTGAATTCCACTACTTCATCAGAGAACCCCAACGGAGTATTGGAACTTATCTTTGACATGTTGCTGGAGCTTGTAAATATGCTACAACAAAGAAAAAACTAAATTATAATTGTTATTTTTCGATTTATACTTTCTGTATTTGCTTTAAAATCAAGAAGTCTCCAACTCAAGAAGAGGAGCCTGAAGCTCTAAATCAAAAGGTCCTCAGTTATATTGGATGTTTTGGATTCCTCTTTGTTAAAAACGGCTTAACCGTTTGAATCTTGTATTCTAGCATGAAAGTGCAACTTTTATCAAATTCTTGAATTTCTGCTACTTTTTGGGTGTGTTTGGTATAAGGAAAAATATTTTCCGTGGAAAATATTTTTCAAGAAAATGTTTTCTTGGAAAATAAGTAGTAAACTTATTCATTTTTCGGTGTTTGGTACGCAAATTAAGAAAAATAATTTCTCAAGAGTATTCATAAATAATTTAGATACAATAAACATGAAGTCATAAACTTTCGAACCAACAACCTTTCGAACCCACAAATTTCATAAACTTCCGAACCGCTAAACTTTCGAAACCGCGAAATTTTGAATCTGTAAACTTTATAATTTCTAAATCCGTAAACTTCCAAATCCATAAACCTCCGAACTCATAACTTTGAAACTTGTAAAATTTCGAACTTGTAAACCGAAAGATGAAAAAACTAAAACTAAAAATATATAAAAAATATATTTTTTTTCCTAGGGGTGCAGAAAAAAAAACAGAAATTTGAAAATTACAAAAAAAAAAAGTAAAAAAAAAATTGTTTTTGTGCGGGG